TCGCCGTTACCGGCCAAATCCGCGGCAGAATAATTGCCACCTGATGAAGGCTTTTTGAACACTGTAAGAACTTCTTTTGAAACATCATTCCGCTTAAAAATTCTCGTTTAGCACAATTGGTTAGGTTTAATAGAATTGTTTTGGTTTTTTTCCACCACTTATTGAAAGCAACTCTGTTCTCTCCTCTATTTACAACACATGGTACTTTTTTTTGTAAACCATGTAAAGGAAAAAAGCAGCTAACGGCTTTTAGCGAAAAATCAAAACCATCCAATCAAGTGCAAAAAGAAGCTTGACGAAGTGAAAAATTGCGAAAAAAAATTAAACAGTTTAAAAATTAAACGGTTTAAAAATTAAAAGAAGAAGGTCAAAAATTTATATAATATTAAATTTAAAAGAAAAGCAAAAAATTATAAAATTGTAAAAAAAATTGAATGTATTAGAAAAGTTTATTAAGATATGTATCATTTAATAAGTTAAATAAGTGTAAGGAATTTGATAATAAAATAATGAATAAATATAAATAATTTAAACAAATAAAAATTTATAGATTAAGTATAAAAAAGTATAATTTCAAGTAATATATATGAGCATTGACGGTAAGTGCATTTATTTGTTATTTACAATTGCGTATATTTAATTTTTTGCTAAGGAGACCCACATAGTTTCCGTGGGAATCTCGTTGGTGTCTTCCTTTTCCGTTTGCAAGTTAACATAATGAAGTGCGCAAATAAATAGATGAATGAAGAAATGACTGAATGTGTGAATGAGTGAGTGAGTGAATAAGTGAATAAGTATAGTGAACACCACCTGGGCTGACGGATTAACAATTTCTTTTCGCAATAATACTACCGATATGAGTATCAAATGGAAGGGCTTGGAGCGTGGAAGGCTATAAGCTAACTGTGTTATACATTTGCACCACCTTGATTATAGGTCTACAATTCTTTTGAAATAAGTTAGCAATTTCCAGCCTCTGCACAAATCTGCCAGATAACGTATATTTATTGTACGCGTGCGTTATTTATAGTGAGCACCATATTGGTTGCATTACAAGAACAAGCGTGTGTGCCGCCATATTAATTGCGTTTTTTTTTGGATATAGCAAAGTATGAATGCATGTATGTGGGCTATATAGTATGTAGAATGGAGGATGTGTAATAGATGCACAAATATATCAATTATTGTTATTGCACGCAGGTTGTGTCCAAAAGAAATGGAAACTAACGGCCAAATGCTGAAAATTATTCTGTGCCTTCCTTATGAAATACATTGTTACGATTGCGATTACAAGACGCTTCAATTGCTATAAGATAGGTTAAGATAGCATAAGGGTTGAGAATCAATCTTTTTCTTTTTCATTGGATGAACCAAATTATGTCGTAGGTTGTATATTTAAAATATAATATAATGTATTGTAATGTATGTACTTTGAATACGAAAGCTGCATACGCATTTGCATATGCCTCTTGCACCAACATAAGCACAAAAACATATATATAGAAATATTATTTATACATGTTTCCTACTTTTATGCGTATATGCAATAGTGGACGATGCTTTCTCAATTTAATTCATTCTTTCTCAAAAATTTTCTACTTTCGACATTAATGTAGATTTTCTTACATTTTTGAGCCATTAAGGTGTGGTTTTTTCTTCGTTTTTTTTATAGTTTTAAATCTAATGTTAATATTTATTATTGTTCGTTTATCAACAAAAAAGAGGCTATGAACTTTCATGGTATCTAGTTTTGCACTCAGTACTCTAGCTGACTATAAAATTTTGTTTGAATTATCCAGACGTTACTTCTAATGTTTTACAGTCCAAGTTTTTATCAATACAAATTATATCTTATGGAGGTTCCGCTTTTACGATACTGTCTTGTGTAATTTAGATTTGGATTAACGGGGACCTCTCATTATATGATATTATTCAAAAGACACTTGTCGCAATTTTCATCTCATTTAGAGGGGCTACCGGAATCTGCAATTCGAATGAAAAGATATAAGAATGGGAGTAAAGACAAAAAAATTAGGCCATGGGCTATAGGCAATTACAATCAATTTGTTTAGGGAAGAAATGTGAATGCAGTTTAAAATTTAATCATTTAAAATTTTTTTGGTTTATTTCAACCGTTCGTAAAGTAAAATAATTCTCATTGGATTTTATTTCGCTCTCCACTTATAGATGCTTTCTCTTGTACGAGCAACTCTGAACATTGCCTTATATAATAATTGTTGATTATCATACGGTGTTGCCAACTTAAATATAAGAAAAAAGCCAATATTTATTTATAGTTTTGAAAAAACAACACCAATTTGGTTGATTGTATCTCGAATGCTTTTTTGTTTTTTTTTGATAGGAGAAACACTCACAGCACATTGTAGCTAAGGTGCTTTTCTTTCTAAGACTTTTCCATTTATCTTTTTTTTGCGTTGTAAAAATATTTCATGATCCTTGTTTACATTTGCCTTGCATGTGACATTGTTTACATTTCGAAAGTAGTATGGTAGTTGTACACAAAAGTATGCAAATTATCTTCAGAGAATGGACCAAAGTTTCTCTTGTATAATTTTGCAAGCTCCACATAATAATAATAAATAATAATAAAATTATACTTTTCAATCAATGAGAAATGTTTTTTGGTCGGATGCTATACATTTTAATGTACTTTTCTAGTCTATGTTATCAAAGTAACTTAATATTAATATATTTTGTACCATTTATTGCAACCTGAATTTAAAATGGACGATAAAGAACCTAATTAAAAAAAGAACCTAAAATACACACGACGCGTTTCATGTAAAATACCTTATTTGGATGTAAAACTTGTCGTAACATTTTTAGAAGTTTCACTGTCCTTGGAATCTTTTTGATTACAGTACAAACGCCCAGCATGCTTCATGCATCGTTTTTCCTTTTATTACTATTTTATTGTTGTTATAATAACACTTTCTGCTATATCGTATTATAGGCTTGGAAAATTTTCTTATATCTTCCCTCAAAAAGAAAAAGCTTTTGTAAACAAAAAATGCGTAAAATGATTATAGGCTCTTCTTCTTCTTCTGAAAGTCAGCAAATAAACAACAGATATATTTCAGCCCCATTACAAAAACAACTCATGAAACTATTCTTATTTCTACGGCATAGAAAATTTGTGGACTAAAAATCTATTTTCTTAACAACGGATGAAGGATTATTCAAAGAGTTGCCCTTCTCTTTTAAATAAACTAAACGAGCGTGAAATTTAATGTACTTTTCTAGTCTATGTTATCAAAGTAACTTAATCTATATTTTGTACCATGATTTCAGTTATTTTTTGTTTTCATTAAACGGCAATGCTATTCAATGCTTGAGTTGGTTTATAGCGTATTATTGGTAGACTAAGTCTGCAGCGTTCTTGCCAAGGAGTGGGCGCAAGATTTACACTATCAGGCCGAGTATCTGTAACCATAACGGGGATACGCGCTCCTTATATATATCTATCTGAAACTTGTTGATCCTTCAAACAGTTAAATACTATTTTTCACTCGTTCAATTCAGTCAGATATCTGGCAATTAACTAACGCTGTCTAAGTATATAGTTTTTATGGTATGAACTGTTGTTTTACATCAGTTCGTGAGTTTACCTTTTCTTCTGTTTATAGTTAAGCAACGCATGAAATTCTTTAAACTTGTATCCAAACGTTTATCACATCTTTTGCATAATTTTTGCACATCGTTACCATTCAGTACGTTTTGTTTTGAAGGATCAATTTTTATGAAACGTGCCTTCGAAGAACTTTTGATTCCTCTTTGTTATACTTGTGTGGCTTAAACAAGCAAATTGACATAAGCATATGCATTGCCTAAGCAATGCAGCGAGATGCTTGAAGATTTTGTCACCTTTCAATTAGTTTGTTAGTAAACAATAAACACACAAACTTATGACTCTGGCCTTTGTCCCTCCTTTCCCTCCCGGCATCGTGGTCGCTGTTCACAAATACTTTTGCTTTTTTGTTTTTTTTTTTTGCCTTTGTAAAAATGATTTCGCATTCATTGTAGGCTGCGCTGTAGGGCTGAAAAATATATGCACGAAGTGAAAATTAGTTTGAATAAAGAAATTAATAAGTTTATTCATTCCTATTTAGGCTTTGGTTTAATGTCAGCCCGTCACGAAGTCTTTACCAAGGGTTACCGGAAGAAACAAATATTGAATCCGCTTATGTTAATTCCATAATAATAAGTAATCGGACTTGGGTTTACCATTATATTGAATATAAGATCAGTTGTAAGGATTCTGGTAAACCATCGCAAGTAAATCCTGAGGTGGTTTTCAATATATGCTTAGACTTATATTATTATTCGTAAGATCTTCGATTACTACTCTAGCTAAGCAGAGTAAATCTTGCACTGGCTTTTGCCAGGCATTATATGGGGAGTGATCGCAAAGGCGAACCGATTCGAACCATTTTCAAGAAAGTTCGTCCTTAGGGTCAAAGCCCGTCACTGTACCAAATTTAATCAAAATATCTCAAAAACTACGATCTGTAGCTTGAATACAAATTTGCATGGACAGATATTAGACGGGCAGATAGGCTTAGATCGATATAGAAAATGATCCAGAAATGATTACGAATCGGGCGGTATCATATAACGTCCACCTAAAGCCCTTCTGCGTTTAACATCGGTCCGCACATACTTACTCCTTGTAGCACAAGTGGTGTAGAATACAAAACGTAAAAGGCGTTACAATCTTTGAACCTGGCAAAGATAGAACGGCTTACTTCTATTAAGAACGTTATCATCGATATTCGAATTCCCTATTTTCTTATCGTCATTTGGCTGGCTTCAAAACGCACATGAGAAACATCCCTGAGAGTAAGAGCAGCAATACAAGCAGCAATTGGCAATGCAAATTGCTTATTTGACGCTGGAGAAAAGTGCTGATAATTTGAGATATTCATCGCATTAAAACAAATTGACAAATTCAAAAGTAGAGGAAAATTAAACTCAAGAAATGATTTGAGAAAAGAAAAAAAACTGTATTTCACTTAGTTGTCGTTTAATACTAATAATTGTAAGGCTTAACTAGCTTGATACAAATGATTCTCGTATATTTATGAATCTTGTTCTATTAAATCATGATCTTAGGATTCTATGTTGAATGATATTTACAGCAAATCATTCGAATTATTCATATTCATCTTTAAGCTCGCAAAAGTACATTTTCACGTTATTACTTAAACATATATCTTTCATAATAAATCGTATAACTCACTCAATCGAAAAAAGAACTTGTATATCCGCTTAAATTTTTACCAATTGTAATGGAAGTTTGGATGCAGATATTTAAATTTTGCAATTTCCAAATACATACGATCCGTTTCGATTTGATTGCGAACATTCAATTCGCTTTGTATTAGCTCCAAATATTTTTCAATTCGTAATATGACATCGGACCAATAATTGCTATCTCGGTTGCCAGTGTCAGGGCCGGAGTTCCTTGCATCTCCTTGCATCGAATTAAAACTCTCTGTAGAAGTGGTTTGTGTGAGGTTAGCAACATTAATTGCTTCTTCGGTTGTTGAAAAATTTTCAGGTTTTACGTTCGATAAATTGTGATAGTTGCGTTCATTGACAGTGCCAGCATCGTCAGCAAAGTTGTAACCGTAGCTATTACGCAAGCTGATTGCAGGAGATATTGTTGCCTCATTTGCGTTTTGATATGAAAGAGTATTATCGCCGTTAATAGATTGCTGCATCGTTGACAACTCCGTGATATTTTGCGCGCTTGTAGATAACAGTTGCGTAGGCTACAATTTAAAATATGATTATCTGTCTGTTTGTTCGTGTGTATTAATTATATCCCTACCTTTTGCTGTTGCTCCTCTGAGGTGACATTTTGATTTCCTGTTTTAAAGCTGTAATCCAATGGTACCTCTTCGCAGCTTTCATTATTTGATGCCTTCATATTATTCCATTTGTTAAATATTACCGTACCAAACGAGAGAGGGAGAGAGGAGAAGAGAGAAAACAAAAAAAAAAGAAGAAGATCATGTTTTACCAGCGTAAATACTTTAGATTACGAACATTTTTAGATTTTTTTAATAACGGTACGAAAGCATACACGCTAGAGCAGCAACGCAACCAAAGAGCAAAAATTGTGTTAGTATTAGATATTTATCAGTTAAGATAAATAAGACAAAACAAAAACGAAATTTTGTATATACGGGTTCGAAATTCATCACAGACAATTGCTAAAGTTAATAAATCAGTTTTTCTCTCGTTTCGAATGATATTCGACATGCTGATGAGATGCTAAAGATTTATTCTACAGTTACATATGAAGGGATAAAAGAAAATTAGAGACCTAAATATTATGTCATAGATATTCACATGCGGAGAATATATATATACAGATAGAGAGAAAGGGCTTGGATTGAATTAAGTATACACATGCATTCCATCTCTTTAGATATTAGGTTAACAAGTTTTATAAATTCTTAACATCTTACCTCCTGGCGCATTTCATTCGATTCAAGCTGATGACGCCGGAAAACGGTCTTAATTTTTAATTTATGTGTATGCATTAAACTCAATTCGGGTGAGGAATTTATACGATTAACTTCTGGCATAAATTGAATGTCTGTTTGGTTTTGCGAAATAGGTTCAGTTTTAAAAACTCTGACGGGAGTAGATGTGGCTAGATTGCGATGAGAACGATGATTACTAAATTTTTTATTTCGCATTAAACGATCACGTCGCTCCAACAGAGCATTCACCTTCATATTATGCAATTTGCCCAGCAAATCTGGATGTCGACGCTGCATTTTGTCAAGATTTGAAAACTGTAACTTTGAGCTTCGAGATTTATTATATATACATTTTACACTTACCTTAATATGCATATGAAAATTTCCGGTAGATCTAACACTACCACGATAAACACGGTCCGGTGGGCAATTGCAACATTTCACTGTCACATTCTCACCTTCTTGTGTTTGTATCTGGTACAATTCCCCGTTTAGTATGTAAGGAATATGATAATGTCTAGATTGATCCATATTGCAATTAAAATGTTCGTTCTCGTTCGTTATATCAGCATTTTCATTAAAATTGCTGAGTGTTGCGGCAGCAGATATTCCTTGATTTATATCGGTAATCGTTTTTGGGAGGCTCGCATTATCATAATTTTGATTTTCTTGCGAATTTAAGGAAGAATTTTCTATGTCTTCCATTTTATTTGCTACCAACCAGCTTGATATTTAAAAATCGAATGCTACCGCTCTTATTTAATTGTTGCTGCTACTGATTTTAGTTTCTCATTGGCCGATCCCCCCAAGTAGAGCGATATAATTTACTTAGATATTGTTCTTGTTACTCTCGGTATTCTTATGTGAAGATGTATTAGGGCATTTTTCAGTACTACAAATGCATCCTCTAGAAACCTAAGCATAACAAAGAAAAACCGAGTACCGTTAGGTGTTTTAAATCAGCAAATGCGTACAGAGTTGCCAAGCGTACAAAAATGTTCAAACGAATGGAAAGGAATACAAGAGAATTGTCTTGTGTACTAATAATGACGTTTACTAAAATCACGCATGAAAATGCAAATAAACAGAAGAAAAAGTTTTTTTTTAAAGTTAAATTAATTTTATTGCTCTTCCTATTACAGCCTAACAGTTTTATGCATGTGTTGGATAATGTTATAACCAACCAATAAGAAAATTTTTTAGGTGCTTATGAATAACGTAACAAATACTAAATTTGGTAATAATATGTGTGTAATAAGTGCGTTTAGTAAAGCAGATTACATAAGTTACATATATTCTTGATTATTGCAAAAGAATTATTCTCAATTCTAAACAAATACAGGGTTACTTTTCATCGGTTTATATGAAACTAAATCCAGCTATCCATGCGATAGGTTAAGGGCTATGTTTAAAATAAGATTGAATAGTTTTGAACGGAAAAAAAAACATTTCCTTAATTTTTTCAAATGTCCACAAAAAACTAGTTGCTTAAGAATTTGAAGGAATATGACTTCTTTTACGTTTATTTGAATGCATCTAACGAGGTAATGATGATATGAAAAGAGACATGTTCTCTTATAATGATAAGTATTAAAGAGTTTAATTTAATGCTTACGAACAATTGCATTGCGTTACATTAAGTCGCAGAAAACAACTAATACGAAACCAGATGTTTTGCTTAACATTTAAACATACATCTCTGTGTTAATTCTTTGAGATAATTATTTTAGTATCTAAAAGCGGCACGGATTTGTAGAATTTTTTTGCAAATATCTGAAAAAAAAAGAAAACACCAAGACAATGTCTACAAAAACTGAAGAAGAGGAGTGTGTTCCAAATATTCTTATCACTGGTGTGTAAAAATTTAGAATCTTATCTACAAAAGTTAAGAACCTTTTATCTATTATAATAGGTACTCCGGCTACTGGAAAAAGTTATTTATGCGAACGTTTAGCTGAACAGCTAAAATTACGTTGGTTAAATTGCTCCGAACTGGCTAAAAAGCACAACCTGATTGAGGAATATGACGAAGAATACGACTGCCCCATTCTAGATGAAGATAAAGTACATTTTTGGTATATATTGTATCTTCTAGAGAACTAACTAATGCATTTACAGTTAATGGACTATTTAGAACCCTTAATGCAGCAAGGCGGTAATATTGTGGAATATCATGGTTGTGATTTCTTTCCGGAAAGATGGTTTGAGGCAGTTTTTGTGACGACTTGCTCTAATACCGCACTTTTTTTTGACCGTCTCAAAGAGCGGAACTATAACGATAAGAAGTTGAAATCAAACATTGAATGTGAGATATTTGGGATTGTTTTGGAAGAGGCAAAAAATTCCTATAAATCCGATATTGTTTATCAATTGACAAATGAAACAAAACAAGAAGCGGAAGAAAATTTAAAGGCCATCAAAAATTGGTATAAAGCCTGGAAAAGGAAATAAAATGAACAAAGTTTATTTATGGACATAAACTATTTAAATTTAAATTCTTGTCATTTTAAACTTTAGTGGTCCGTCGGGAGCATACATAAATGTGACCGAATAATCCAAGGCGGGATAGTTATATTCCAATTTATAATTTCGTAAAAGCTTAGCCAATAATATTTGCATCTCTAAATCGGCTAGGCGACGTCCGAGGCACATACGCGCTCCATAGCCGTATGGCAGAGAGGCGAAAGGATGTAGATTGCCTTCAAACCCGCCTTGATGAGGCTTAAGCCATCTCTCGGGTCGAAATATATGAGCTTCGGTGACATACTGCTCCATATTACCGGTCACCAAGGTAGGAAACACAGCTTGGACCTACAAAAGACAAGCATTAAAACAAAGAACAAATAAATCTTTCTTTCTAAGGTTCATTTATCCTTACACCCTTCGGGACACGATAACCACATATGACAGTATCCTGCTGTAAGGTACGACCATTACCTATTACTGTGCTATACATGCGGAGAACTTCCTTAATGAAACCTTTTAGATAATGCATTTGATCTAATAAATTTATTGTTAACGGAGTAAAGGGTTCTGGCAATAACCGTTTTAATTCTTTATGTATTTTATGTTGCTCTTCGGGACGTGTAGCTAATTGATAGAGTATAGAACAAACAGCCATGGATATCTATAAAAGAAACGATCTATTAAATATTTTTGTACTGATTTTGTTCACTTTTTCTCTGACCGTATCAATGCCAACCAAAATCAAATCTAAAGCCATAATGGTAGCTATCTTTTCGTTTCCTTGCGTTACTATTACTTTCTCCAAAAGAGATGTTTCTCCATTTTTACTTGGACCTTCAGTTTTCAAACGCACCGTGGTATTCTTTATATATTTTAGACAAATTCTTCAAAAAGTAACCCTCGCTTAATCAGATCATTTAAAAGTGATGCAAATTTTTCGTAGATAACTTACTCGACGAAGTAATTCATATTCTTAACGTATCGAGTCCACATGGGCGTTGGAAAGTAACGCCAATATGGCGCCTTTAATTCCAAAGTGGCCACATTACGTAAAGCGAATTTAGCGGCGTCAATAATCTGTTGTGGTTCAGAGTCCGGAGGTAAATTCGGAGATAAACAGCCTAAACGTGTATCCAAAGCGACTCGACCAATGCCTGCAAATAGTAAATCATGATGATTAAGATGTTGTGATTAGTTTGGTAATTTTTTTTATATTAAATATACATTCCAATGACCACTTATGTATTTCATTATCAAAATCTTCAGGCAACTCATTGTTCTCGTCCAATAGAACTACACAACGTTTTAAAAAGTCTTCGGTTATCACTTCTAAAGGCTGTAAATAACGCCTTATTGTAGATAATTGTAAAATGGGTCTTTGCACCTTCGAACGAAATTCTCGCCAAGCTTCTCCATGTCTACAATAATGTTTACAAATCGTCCTTAATATGTATTTTCTGAAATTAATCCAACTTACACTCCCACCACTCCACCCAAATCGCCAAAGAAATCCTTACGTACAACGCTTTTATATTTCACCAAACTCGGCATTGACGGTCGAAACGGAGTAGGCCCCTCATTGCGGTAACACTATGATTGTTCAATTAAAAATGTATTGAGATTGAAATTTAAATTTCTTTACATTTTCAATTTCATCGGCATCAAATATGAATAATAAATCCGGTCTTCCAATTAAGCCACTAAAACGTACAATTCTTCCATATTGCCGATGCAGTTCGAAGGAAATTCTGGCTACATCACTTATAGTATATTGACCAATAATTGGCATCAACCTACATTTAAGCAATTAGGGAAATATACTATTATTGGTATCAAATTGTTTAGAGAAATATTTTAAAAAGTTCTCGTAAGGTAAGGTAAGGTACAGTAAGAAAAGTATATTATTATTAATATAAAATTTTAAAGAAAAATATTTTAAAAAGTCGTCGTAATGGTAATGTTTTGTAGAAAATTTCTAAAAATTCTCATTTCAATTGCAAACCATATAAAGAAGTTATTATGCACGCAGCTTTGGGACAAAGTGGCCTATGAACGGTAAATTCATAATTATTTTGGAGAAAATAATGTTATGCTCACAGGCGAATATGCATTTTGTCAAAACGGTTGCAACACCCAAGGAAGGAAGCTTCAGAGACCCCCTCTTGTGTATATATGCTTTTGATCAGCGAGAAATTCTCAACCGATATCTACGTATCCATCCGTCCTCGTCGCAAAAATGTAGCAATCGGCTTCAAATTTAGCATAATAAATGGAAACTCTTGCATGCAGGTTGGTATTGAAAATGAAGCAATTTGGTAAAAGTGCGCGATCGCGTTGCTATATAAACTGATACAACCTGTGTTTTCAAAATAAGTAAAAAAATTATATTCGGTAGCGACCGAATCTTTTATACCTATCAGACTTATCCTAAAAACAAGTAAGAACATCATAGTCGGTCAAGGTCAATCACTAAATACCCTGCACATCATTGTCTAACACAATTTTTTATTTTTTTATGAAATTACTATTATGCATCAATTTTCATCACCACATATTAAAACTTGGACTTTTCTGCTCTACAAAGGATCAATTTTCGTGCAAATCCTTATTAAGGCAGAATCCAAAAAATAGGTCGAGATGGTGCAAATTGGGTACTGTTAACTTTTTATTTTATTGCGATATAATTTTCATTATGAAGCATTGAAGCTTTTTGTCGTATGAGTTTCAGTTTTCGTTACATGAGAGGAAGTTAAAAAATTGCCCCAAGCTTGTCCAAAGAGTATATACCAATTTAGAATGCCGAAATATTACTATTTAGCGACTTTTACTGAGAAATTTTGAAAATTTGCAATTTTTAATAACGATAATAACGATTTTTCAAAATAGGACATTATACGGGGAGTGATCGAAAAAGTGGACCGATCCGAATCATTTTCATAGGCGTTCGTCTGTGGGACAAAATGAAAATATCTCAAATATTACAACCTGTAGCTTGAATACAAATTTACAAGGGCCGACGGTCAGACGGACAGACAGCTTTAGATCAATTTCTTAAGCCCTTCTGGCTGTTACGAATATCTACACGAAATGAATATATCCTGATGTGTCTACAATGCTGATCAGAATCCGGCCGCTAGTTTTGTTTATTACTATCATTACTATTATGAGAATTTATTGGGGCCAAAAAAAATAAATGCTAGGACTAAATTAGGCTGAGCACTAGCATCTAAGATTATATTATCTGTCAATTATTTTTAACACCTTTGAAGGTGGAGGCAATTAGTTAGACGATCTTTCTACCAAGTTTATCTTATATATAATTTGCTCTTTTTATATTCATTTTGGTGTGTTTTTTCTTTATTTTTCTGATTAACTAAGTGACAAGCATGACTTAGTCATCTATGTGTTTGGTTTATTGCATTTGTTAAAATGTAAACAAATCGTTAAAAGACGTATATATTTAACTCCTATCGTTATCCATCTGCGTTTACTTAATACAAACGTCTGGTGGAGTTCGATGTTAAAATAGCCGGTACGCTTGTTGTTATATGTTATTGGAGGTAATTAAAAAATTTAAAATATAAACACAATAAAAAAAAAAAACCTATAAAACGTGAAATTTTTATGGAATATTTATTTATTGTATGGTGACGAGCGATTTGGACATGCTTCGCATAAATATTGTCTTTTATTCATTTATGTAATATTTATATGAACGCAAGCATATGTAATACAATTATAGAAAAGCAATTAACACACATACGTACAACGCAACAAACAAAAGCTCGAATATTTAATATTATTAATCGAAATCGATACATTAGAGGAAGTAGAGTGAAAGCGAAAATTCGCGATTTTACACTTTTGTGTGTCATACATGTTCATAATATTAGGTTAGTCGTCAGCAATACCGAACAATAATTTTGCATTTCAGTGAAAGCCTCTTCCTATAGTAAACAAACAAGCAAAAACACTATAGTGTGGCATGGTCCACCGTTAGAGACCCTACACCATTTTGCTTTAAAACAGTTATTTGTACGAAGACTTTTCAGGATAAAGTTTTATGTGGGGTGTGGGCCGATTCGAATCATTTTCAATACTGTTCCCTTGGCCCTTGGGCCACGACCCGTCTGTATACCCAACTTCGTCGAAAATTCTCAAATAGACGTTTTGGCAGATTGAATGCAAAAAACCAAGACGGACAGATGGACAGACAAGCTTAAGATGATGCAGAAAGTGATTCTGAATCGATCGCCACAATTCTGCTTGAAGTGCATCTGGGCGTTGTATACATCCGTAGAAATTTAATATAGCCTTGCATCACAAGTTGTGTAGGGTGCAAAAATATAGTTTCCTGTGAAAGAGTTCATTTTTAGAAAACTTTTCCTCATTGTTCTCTATTCTGCTTATCTACAAGTTCGTAGGCAACATTAAAAAAATCTTCAGAGATATTCGTCGTCCGGAAGACCTTTGGCGAGACTCATTCATTAATTACAAAAATAGTTCGTGCCTGTCCGTCTGTCAGATTTCAAATTTTCAAGTTATGTTTTCTTAAAGGAACATTGACATGCTGCCTCATATAAAATTTTGTTCGTAAGTTAGTGAGTTCAGGCTCGAAAATATTTTACCCAACTTCATGTATTTTCGCTTAGTAAAAAATTAATAGCTCTGAGGTAGACTTGTGGTTGGCTATTAGGCGCACAATTGAACAGAATTTCAATTCTAATTAGCTTTGATTGGTTTCAAAGCAGATTAGCGATCGATATATAGTTACGAAGAAAGTTGGATGTGAGAGAGGTTTCATTCGATACGATTTAAACAGTTCATTTATAATTGATTATGGAAGCTTTTTTAAGAATTTGTGGTCGATCAAAGACCAGGTACTCGTCTAAAAGGAATTTGTATTTTCGGAGCGAGCTTCACAGAGATGTGATCGATCAAGTACTTGAACATAGTTTCCAGTGGATTTTGCTTGACTGTAAAACCGATTCATCCTCGACTAGGAGTTGAGGAGTTTGTCTGAAAGCATGGTGCGGGGGAGTATTATGTTTGTGCGGATGTACGCACCACCCATAGGGAGATAGGACAGGCCCATCTTTTACTATACCGATCGTATCAGACGATCTAAT